AGGGAAAAACCTCATTTTATGGTAATCGGTTACATCACCACTTTACAATGTGAATTGCCCTATGTGTTCTAGAGTAGACACCTCTCCTAAACCGGTAAACAGTGAGAATTCTGGCACCTTATACCCTCTAGGCCATGGGTATGCTTGGTCTACCCAATCAGGGTATGGCTTTGTGTAAGTCGGCCTAATGACAGGACGCACCCCAAAAGCCATCTGATCCTGTACGATTTCCATAATCTGATTCCTCAACATGACGTTGGGGTCATATGGAATTCCTACAGGTTGGTTAACCGGTTGATTTGCATGAGGCCTGATGTTTGGTCCTTGATTGGCAACAAAATTACCATGATTAGGGTCATTACCATTAGCCTGAACATCTATTCCCTCATTAACACGTGTAATATTCTGTCCATTGTTTAGGACATTATCTTTTATGTTTGGATTACCCCCCAAGTTAGGCATACCACTACCATTGTTCTGGTTTGGCACTGCAGTACCCCCTTGGTTTGAAGTAGAGTGACCAGAAAGTGGTTCTACCCCTTGGTTCGGGCTTAGGACTGAGGGATTATGTCCCACAATTGTCCTAATTTGAAAGTGATTTGCAAGAGGTATAACCGGTTGAAATATTTGGCCTACTAACTTATTCATTGTTTCGTTCAAAGTGTTTAGTTGTTTGGCCATGTTGTCATAGTGTGCATTCCTATTTTGGATAAATTTTTTCATATTATGAATACTTCGAAAATTTACCTGTTCAACAACGTCTTGTGTGAGTTCTCCAAGTAATGCACGCATGGTTCGAGGACTCAACTCCGTCATTAGTTCGTAACGACTGTTACTGCTCTGATTCTATCCATCTATTCGTGGAGAGGCATGCTGCTCCTCATATTGCTCGATCACAGACTGGATTCCTCCCTGACTTGCTGCTTCCTTATCGGATCTCTGAGGCATATTATTTCACCTTTTGTACTTTCAACACCAAACACCATTGTCCCACTGGGCGTGCCAAATTGTTTCGCACGGGTTAGTCGCTAACAATTAAAAGAGATCAGACGATTGTGTAAGGGACAAACCTCTTGAGATAAAGTCCCAAAAAGGGGTGTTCTTTTATCGGCGATGACTTTACAATTGGAAATTAAAAATAAAGTGCCTCCAAGGGACGCAAGCACACGAGTTACTGAGAAAAATGTTTAAGTTTAAGCTAAGAAAATTAAAATTACATGTTCTTTGTTCGAGAGTTTTTTATTCGGTCCCTTACTCTATGTCTTTTCTCCCTTTTATACTTCATGCACGATCTCTTTGTGATCAACCGCCTAAAAACTGGTTGATCGTTTTGCAATTGCCCACTTTCCTCATAATGGTCAGCTTGTCATGAAAACTACCTTATTTAACTGCTGTCATTACTCTTCGTCGTTCAACCGTTTTTGATTGAATTCCTTGAATCGTGGAATGTGATGGGGCTGCTTTACTAACTGCTTTGATAACTGCACTTTTTGATAACCACAACGCTTTATGTTTGTTAAGACTTTGGGCGACTTGAAGGTTTTGACGAGAATAGAGTAATAGCTCTTGGCGACTGCATGGCACTTCATTCGCTCAGATTCTGAGCGACTTGTAATCTTGGGCGATGGCGTTACCACGTTCTTGGGCCTCCCTATTTGGGCCTTCATCTTGAATTGTTTGATTGGGCTTCGTTCTTTGGGCTATCTGATTTGGGGATTCTCCAATTAGGCTTCATTCCTTGGACCGTTCGATTTGGGCTGAATTTTTATGTGTCAACAGAAATCTTTGTGACTTTTAATCGAAAATAATAACTTGTAAAATGTGTTGATTTTTCCTCCCCTTTTAGATCCGTCAGACTATACAATTGAGAGTAATTATTTTCTCCTTAAACTCCTATCCCGTGAGACTCAAAGCTAAACTAGATAATTTAACAAATTGTATTACTTTATATGCACGTGTTGCAAAGAAAATTATATACTCCATCCGTCTCATTTATATAGGTTGATTTTGTTTTTCACACGGATTAAAAAATCTTATATAATGTTATTGAAAAAATAATTTTTGTCAAAACTTTAACAGTATACCTTTATTTATATTTGTACAATTTCAAGATTTAGTGGAAAAAATTAATTATAACTAGACAAATTAAATAATAGTATATTAATAAATAAAACAAAACATTCTCAAATAAGAAACAGAACTATATAATTAGGACAAAAAATAAGAAAAGTCAATCTATATAAAATGGGACGGGGGAGTATTAATTATTATATAACTGTTGCACATATTTTATTTTCATATTTACTTTAAACTGGTTCAAATGGAAGTGCTGGGTACAAGAAAGTGAATTTGACTTACAAGCATCTGAGTTTAAATAAATATTCCCCTAAACTTTTAAATGAGGTGATCGAATAAGAGAACCAAATTGTGGGTAAATTATAGGATCCTATCTAAATTGTGACCTCCTTGGAAAAATTTTTCGTCTTATGTGCACTAAACATGATTGGTTGATGGAGGTAAGAAAAATCACAAGCTAGGGAACATATTTAAACCTTTTGTGTGGTTGATCAAGTAATTTTACTTAAGAGTCATTTAAGTAAATAAAAATATGGTGTAACAAGTAAAATATATCCTTATAGAAATTACCAAAGCTTCCTTATATGAAATTTAAAACTCTCGTCCCCTGTCCTCGAGGCATAGCCCAGTGATATAAAGGACAGGAATGAGATTATCTCACGCCTTGCTGATAGCCGCAATGTGGGGGGCTCGATTCCTGAGACGTAAAATTTGACTTTTTGTAGGTGCAGTGTACAAACAGCTCTTGTTCCTTGGGTCTGTTGGGGGCACATCTCGCTATTTACTTTCCTCACAAAACTCTATGGGTGGAGCGGTGGAGGCCCTCAAGATTGTGGTTCAACCTTTTTTTTTTTTTTCTAAACTCTCGTCCCCTGGTGTATAAATACCAAAATTGTAGCCTGCCTCATATTAAATAACAAAACCGATTTGGTAAAACTGAAAATTTATCCAATTATTATTATTATTATTATTATTATTATTATTTTCAAAATGAAATTTGTCTGTGCTAAAACTTTAAAGATAATTATATTTGCACCATAAATCATATTTTTATTACACCTAAGATCCTCAATATTTGCGAGTTTAGGGAATTAGGGACAAAAACTTAGCCTGTCCTTAACCACACTCTCGAGTTCAACTCCAAGCCAATAGTACACAATTCATATCCATACAAAAATGTATTTAGCCCCTATTTGATAGTCATTTTTTGGGAAGAATGAGATTTTGAATAGTAAACTTTTGGAGAATGAGTGGAAAAAAAATGTAGGAAAAAAGCATTGAAAGAATGGTCGTCAAGTAGGGGTGAACGTGATTCAATTTGGATGGTTTGAGCTATATTTTCAATTCAAACCATTTTATGTGATTTGAACTTTTTTCAAACCAAACCAAACCATAATTTGCGATTTGGTTTGATTTTAATCCACGATTTACCTTTCGACATTATAGTAATATACTTAACATAAGTTAAATATAAGTTTAAACGAGAACTAATAATATTAAATGTTAAATTACATTTATATTTACCATGAAACTCATGAATAAATTATTTTTAAAATTGATTGCTAAAAGATGTTAATAGAACAAATACATCTTTCTTTATTTTTATTTACTTTTTATGTTTGACATTCATATTGTCTTATAGCGGTTAGTAAAGGTAGAGTTACTTTCTGTTATTATAGTTTGGTTAAAACTCTTTTCGTTTTGCTTGCGAGATGTTAAATAAGAATTGAACATGATATGTTGAGATATACAAAGATTGATAGAGTTTTGGCTTATTGAAAATTGACAAATTTCATCATTTAACTACTTTATGAAAGTAGAAGGTAGTAGTACTCGTTAGGGAATGTAACTTTTTCACACAATTAATACGCTACGATCTTCGTTCTTTCCAAATTACAAACAAGTTCATTAATCATCTAAACACACAAACAATCATTTTTTATTCAAACCACAACTCACAAGAGTATAATAAGTTCAAAACAAAAAAAACAAATAAAAGAAAGAACAATGGAAAAATGGTTTGAATAAGAATACAAGACTTATCAAAATAGAAGAAAGAAAGATTTGATTTAGGTAGAGATTAGTAAACTAACAAACAAAGGCGACTGACTATTCGTTCACTAGTGGCAGAGAAGCGTCAAATGTTAGGAAAATGAGAGTTTATGTTAGGGTTTTTAAAACTTTGGACGTGATTTGCTGACACGGTTTTATAGAATTATAATTTGGATTGTTGAAAATATATGTTTTTTTTTTTCATTTCATATGATTTTGGAATAATTTTAATTTATTTTAAAATATCGAGTAAGGATATGTATTGTAAACATGTTAAATCATAGGTCAAAAATGATGAATCTAATTTACTTTCTATGATTATTTCAATAGGCCCGTTGTAATTTGTATTGCTAAATTAGTATTTTTTTTTTTTTGAAAAATGAAAACAGTAAAATTTTTAAGTTAATAAAATTATTTTTTAAATAAAAAATTAAAAAACGATTTGGTTCGATTTTGTACGGTTTTTTAAAATTAAAACCTAAATCAAACCATTTTGAAACAGTTTGGTTTGGTTTGAGGGAAAAGAAACCATGGGTTCACGTGAATCCGAACCAATGATTTCAACTCAACAATTTTGGTTCGGTTTGCAGTTTTGCAATTTTTTTGTGCAGCCCTATCATCAAGTAGGGACTTGCTAACAAAAACATATCAAAACTGATCTCTCAAAAGAGAGAAGTTAAAGTAACACCTCAATTGAAACAACATATTAACATGCGATCGACTTATTGGTTAACTGCAAAAGAAATGAAAAAAATAATTAACATCTCCCAATAGATTGTGAAAACTCTACCAATATGGATTTATATTTGCATTATAACAGTAGAGATACAGATTGTTCAAATATTCAACACTATCACATAGCTATCGGAGTATCTAATTCTTGACTGTGCCCTATACAGCAATTCTTCTGTGAATTTATCATATACAGAAACCCCGCTCAAGCTACATGATTTATACAATTCTTTTAAAATATATATGCTATTGGAAGAATTTACACACTTCCGCACAAAATTGGTTCCAATATTGGCACTCAACTTCTGCCCACTATAAGTAGAATTGGGCAGATCACGAAACTTCGCCCCCCGTCATCTCTGTCGAGGGTAGTGAGCACGGTAAAACTGGAAGTCAGGGAGAGCAACGCGCAAATGCTGAAGCCAAGATTCAGCAGCTTGCCAAAGAGACCATTCTTGCTTGCATTCAAGTGGTTCATGAGGACTCAAAATTGAACCTCTCAACTTGAATGACGCAAGGCCAAAGACCGGCAAGGAGATCTTTGAAGAAGAATCAACAATGCCACGGTCCTTGCTAGCATTCGCGGCTTGTGTTGACAACGAATGGAAGGTCAAAAAAGATGCCTCCAGATCCCCTAGTACAGGGCCGACGGGTATTCTATAAATTGGATACCTGCACCAGATTTGTTTATCCAAAGAGAAGATTTAGCAAGTGTTTTGAACATTCTCATCACAACATGAGCATAGGGTGTAAATTTGTAAGTAAATGGCATACCAGGCAATAGAAATCCAACTAGTAGGAAGGAGATCACTGCTCCTGCACTGCTTCAGATTTAACTGGGATGCCAGAGCTTCAAGCTGCATTTGAAGGGAACATATTCGACCATGATCGTTTTTCTGGACATGAAACAGATTGACAGATGTTAATTTAAATATTTCAAATTCCAATTGGATCTACCTGCTCACTTAACGGTTTGCGCAGCCACGGTTTTTCCCGTTCCATATAGTCCAAAACGAGAAGTCCGGGAGAACTAGAAATTTCAGCTTTCTCCTCGACAGGTTTCCTGAGCCAAAACGAATATGAGTACATGTTAAAAATTTTATGATGTTTTTGTGCATAAATGAGTAAATCTCGGTATATATTTTCATTGTTACTGTTTGTGGGCAAAATTTCATTTCCTTTTGGAATACAAAAGCCGGAGATATAATCCAGTACAAGCAAATACAAATTTTATAGAGCCATAATGATCCATTAAGGAACTTTTCTCCCGGTTTTGGCATGTAGAAATCACAAAGGAATAAGAGTAGACAAAGCAACTAGCAACAAATAAGTTCATGGTCATTGCAGTAATGCGGAGTGCAATGTGCAAACAGCCTAGTCAAATAACACACAGCAAAGAGAATTTACAAACCATAGCACTATAGAGATGCTGAACATCTACGAGATATAAAATTGGCAGTAAAACCAAGTGTAATATGTCCAATTTCCATAAGCAAGGATCAAAGAAGCGATTGAAATAAGTGAACTAGAATGACGATGCAATTACCTATACTGACATATAATCAATGAATCAATGACATCGACAATACTTATCAAAACAAATCACATAATGATAGCTAAACAAAAAAGTAGTACGTGCACATTTCACGAGTACAGAACATACAACAAAGATTGTAATAGATATGACACTGGTGCAAGAGTAATCAATGAATACCAAAAAGCGTCTCATAAACGGAAGCCTAACTAAAAATTAAGCCTAACAAGAGAAACGATTGCTGTAATTAAGGCTCACCTAAGATCTAAGAGAGGCTTCGATGGGTCCACATACAGTTGTATGCCTGACAAATACGGAACATAATACTGTGTAACTAGATCTTGCCCATTTAACAAAAATGGTACCCCCGCTCCATACAGACTTCGCATTGTAAGAGATTCGCACAAATCCTCCAAGTAATAGAAAGGAGCTGAGTCAGCTTCCTGCATTTTCGATCGCCTTGCATTCACCTGCCAACCACACAAAAACACGACAAATTAATGAAATTTTAAGAGCTTCCTCGAAAAATATTTCAGAACCGCCAAAACTTAACGACTTTTCAAAATTTTCCTTAAACCTAACGACTTTTCAAAAACTTCCGAAACCCCCGTAAACTTAACGACTTTTCAAGAATTCAAAAGTTAACGACTTTTCAAAAGTCCCTTCATAAATCTCCCTACACGAACGAGAAATAACAAGCTACCAGAACAAATTCTTTCATAGATTTTCGAAACTGCAACTAACAACCTTACAAAAACTACATCTTTTGTCGAACTTTTAAAAAAACCTTGAACTATCCACTTCTCAAAAAATATTTTATCAATCTTTCAGAAAGCCAGAAATTTCAAGATCATTTTTTTTTTTTCAAAATAAAATATTAGAAAATGCCATGGATTAACAGTAATCAAGAACTCCTCTTTTGTAGATCTTTCAAAAACTACAATAGAGCAAACAGTCCAGGTACGTGGATTCATTGAGCATTTAACTCAATTTCCCTCGGGCAAAAACAAACAAACATTCAATCTCGTTCAATTAATCGAAATCCCCTTTCTGTAGCAATCCTGTGATGGTAACACACAAAAATTCGAGAAAAAAATTGTCAGTACACTCATAATCAAAGAAAAACGAAATAAACCAAGTTCTTAATTTTCAAAACTCGAATTAGGCTCGTCTTAGTTTTAAAATGCAGATATACATGTTTTTGATAATCTGAATATTAGATCAAACGTAGAATTGTATCCCATTTCTTTTCCTCGATAACATCTTCAGCAAACAAAAAGATGTTTGGGGTTTATCTCTATCAAAATTAAAAAAACAGAAAATCAATGAATAAGAATTCTAGAATACCTCTGATGAATTCTGTGCAGGAATTGATATTGTTAAAGTTTCCATCAAACGGTCCAAGTTAGTAACATTAGCCGGCACCGGCACCTGCATGAACTTCTGCTGCTGAAACAACATTTGCTGAAACCGGTCAGCCACCGGCGGGTGGCATAATTCTTCACCAGCATTCCTCCGGGGAGCCGCATAGCCACCTGTACCTGACATTGCTCGAATTCAAGTAAATCAACTTTTTTATCTATCTGTCTGTGTGTAATTTAAGTTCGAGAATCGTTAAAAATGACTGAAGAACAGGAACTCCACTAAAATGGAACAGAATTTAGGCAATCAAATGGGCAGTGAATTTTGCGACGAAGATGCAAGTAATAGGCGTTATGACCCTGAGTTGAGTGTGAGTGCTCTCTTCTTATAGAGTTGAGTATGAAGCAGCAAGGGCTATTTTCAAGTGGCAAATTTCGCACCTCTTCCACCTGTAACATTCCTGTGCAGTATAGACAAATGGAGCGACTTGATTTGACTTTAATACCCCCTCGAGACTCTGATTAATTAAAAATAAAGAGATTATAAAAGTAATAATTGTTACCATAATTTCTTTTTCAAATTAATAGACTTTTTTTTTTTAAATTCTTTTAATTTTTGTAATCTCAAAAAGTGCTCCTCGGGTAAATTAGGCTTGGATTAATTGGTAAGTACTCGAATTTCCGTTATCTATGAGAAAAAAAAGATATTATTATTTTTTACAATATATAGATTACTAAAATTACGAAATATGAAGCTAGATTTAGTGAATTTAGAGGAGAAATTTTGATAATCTACTCCTACTCCATGTATGATTTGCTAAATACAGAATTACTCAAATGCATTCGAAAAAATATGGCGATTTTCATTCATTTCGAGGTACTTTATAAAAGTGTTAGGTAGACTTATTCAGTTACGTTTATGAGATAATTTTGACTTTTGAAATAGGGTGATAAAAGGTTGTACAGTTGAGCATGAAATTAATGAAAAATATGTTCGGTCAATGCATTTATTGAATTTGTTCACATTTAATAGAGTTAGTATTGTTGCTCTAATTACTTAAAATTAATACCATTTTATGTCCGAGATTGTTTAATTGCCTAGAATTTTGTTGTAATGCATTAAAAATTTAATGATATGTGCATCATCTTACTCACAAGTTCAAAATATTTAATTTAAACATTAATTCCCTCCGTTGTGTTTTAAGATGGAGAAGTCCTTATCAATTACTAATGGGGTGAATAGTAAATTTTTGAAGACCAATGGATATTTTCAAATTTGAGAGTTTAAGTATATTTTATAAATTTGTTCTAATGATTCAAGAAAGTGTGTTGTTCACGTTGAAATTCGTTACGGGTCTCCAACTTAGGGCAACAATGGTTAGTTGTCGTGGCGTTGGATGCTTTCGCTTCATTATCTTTGAAAGGTAAATAGGATTGTAGTTGGTTAGTAAGAACATACCCTAATTGGCTCCAGAGTGAGTTACTAATTGTATCAACTATGACTGTTAAGTCATCATAGGACTTCGTCTCTTCTTGAACAAAAAAAGAAAAAGATAGCATGGAAAGTATTTTTGTGTTCGTGCCTTTTGCTCTAAGACTTTTTACTAATTTGGTAAATGGTGAATGTTACATATATTCAATTTACTTCTTTGGATCTTTAACCGATACTTCGTATCATTTATTCGACAGTTGTTGAGGCAATCAAACGAGTAGACTTATGGCAAGAAACTAGCAGCTAATTGATTAGGTTATTAGATATTTGCCTTTAGACTATCTACAATGTTACGTTTATTAATAACTAAATCCAAACGTCCTATCGTGCTTGCACATCTCGAGCAGTTGCTATGAAAGGTGTGAGGATAGTATGTCCATAAAATCATTGATTTTTTTGACCCTTGTTAAGCTCTTAACAAGAAGCGATGGACATTTTTTCCAGAGCTGATGAAATCGGATCAGACCAGATAGAATCAATCAATTCGGCTCTAATTCCCCTACTAAATGGGTGATTTTGATACCATGGATCGAGAACCGATTGGTTTTGGTCTGATTTTCAATACTACTATGAGAATTAATTGTCGAGGCAATTAAATGAATAGACTTGTGGCAAGATGCTTCTAGCTAATTCACTACGCTATCCATAAATTTGCCTTTAGACTATCAGCAATGTTGCATTTTGTGAGAACTCAATCCAAATGTCCTCTCATGCTTGCACATTTCTTGCGGCTATATGAAAGGTGTGAGAACGATATATCCTTAAAAACCAATGCTTTTTATTTGATCATTGTTAAGCTTTGACAATAGCAAAGGGTCTATCTCGAGAAAAAAAAATGAAAAATAGATGTTTGAGTGTGTTTTTATGGTTGTGTTTTCTACTGTATGACTTGTTATAATATTTTTTTTCCTCTTTCTCTGTTAAAGACCTGTTATCGGTTTGTTGGATGATGAGTTTGGCAGATACTAAATGTGCATCTTTCGGTATTTAATCGAAAG